GTCTACTTGGAAAAAATGATCGAATATTAGTTGAACATCCTAATTATGCAACAAACATTGAAACACCACGTGCTATAGGTGCTAAGATTGATTTTATTGAACTTCAATTTGAAAATGCATTTCGTTTATCAATAGACGAAATTGAAAATAAAATAATATCGAATGAAACAAAATTTATTAGTATAACTGTACCTAATAATCCAACAGGTACAGTTATATCACATGATGATCTTAATAAACTTATTTTACTTACAAAAGATAAAGATATTATATTAGTTGTTGATGAAACATATCGAGATATGACATTTAAAAATTTACTTCCTGTCGCAGCATCTCTTGCATCACATATTATATCAGTTTCATCATTATCAAAAACATATGGTCTTCCAGGAATTCGAATTGGATGGTTAATTTGTCAAGATAAAAAACTTATGGAAAAATTCTTAGCTGCTAAAGAACAAATTATGATTTGTGGTTCGGTTGTCGATGAAGAAATTGCTTATCGTTATATGTTAACTCGTAATAAACGATTATCATTAATTCTAGAAGAAATACAAATTCGATTTAATATTATGAAAGAATGGATAAATGAATCAAATCAATATCTTGAATGGATAGAACCACAAGGTGGTGTCGTTTGTTTTCCAAGAATAAAAGTTAATATTGATATTGAAGAATTCTATAAAATATTAAATAATACATTTAAAACATTTGTTGGCCCAGGACATTGGTTTGATATGAATAAAAAATTCATGCGAATTGGTTACGGTTGGCCATCAACACGTGATGAACTTATACAAGGATTAAAAAACATTACATCTGCTATCAAACTTTGCTTAGAAGAAAAGAATTAGATTGCATTAATGTTTTCGTTTTTTTAATTTTAATATCAGTTTTTTATACCCCCGAAATAGAAACCTAGTCTAATGACTATAATTTCCCGGATGTAACAGAAGTTCACTGAATTCGAAATGTGTACATATAGAGAAATCAAGAATGCGAATAATTTTATTGATAATGTTCATTATTTTCAATTAAATGCTGATGTGCTCATTAATCTAATTCTTTCGTTCTGCAAATATTTTTCTTGTTGGACTGATTAACTCCGTATATTTAGCTGTGACAAGTCAATAACTCTGCTTTTTAACAATGTTTTTTTTTTCTCTATTCTAAATCGTAACATATACAGAGGTGTCTCGAGCGGAGGGAATGGCCAGAGACGGTCATCCCCAATAGAGCTCGTCGGAGATGTTCCGAACTTGGATCCAGGTCTGGAAATTTTCACTGCTCAAGTCCGGATGGGAAAAAAGCTTTAATGGATAAAATATTGTTTTAGTTTAATTCGTAAAACCTTTAATTTATTCATCAGAAAACTAAAAGAAAAATGACAAAACTCTTCTTGACTATAATATCTAAATCTATTTGCCATGGAGTTGAGGTCCAAAAAATTTGACAAACGAGGTTCGGATCCAGGTTCAGTAAATTTAATCAACTGAATCCGGGTTCACGTCTAAAATTTCTTGGGCCCGATGAGCTCTACCTCCATCCTCAATCTTCGAAAATTTCTTTCTTTTTTTTTGCCTTGCTTAAGTTTTCCCAATTCGAAAAACGCCTAAATGTATACAATTATATACACATTTTAATACATTTACTACAACCTTAGTGCGTTGTTTTTTGAAAATAATATTTCAAAGGTTGCTGTACGAGACGAAACAAGTTGGTCGTAATAGAAGTCCAGTGGGCTTTTATTCTGGGGATGGTATTAATTCTAAGAAAATTCAGTACGACTCGTAAACAGAGGTGTGCAAGACCAGACTTTTTTTTGTCCTATTTCCAGTAACTTCCTTCTTAGTGTTCTCGGCCTAGGAAAAATTATTCCAAAATTTATTTCTATTACAGCTAAAAAGACTCTTGAATAGATACGAAAAAAACATTGAAAGTGTCTCCATAAAGTTCTAAAATAATGATGATACTTTTTTATTTGTGGTATGTAATTATTTTTCTTCCTAAAAATCAATCAAATTAAATTGAATCATACCTCAAAAGATAGAGCAAGTTTTACTCTACAAAACTGTATATTTAGATTTTTCTTAAATAAACTTTTAAACATATCTATGACAGGTTAATATATGAACGACGGCACAAAAACTTTCAAAATTTTATGTTGATTTTTAGTGTTTCGATGGAAAAGAAAATATCAAAAGGCATTCGGGCTGACAATAGTTTCATATGGATTCGTTAGAGTAGAAAAAACTGCACAAAATACACCTAAAGAAGTATCCAAAAAATATGCGCATGGTACTTTAATTTAGTCTAAAAGATAAAAGAACATTACTGTTATATAACACATTTTTATGGTATTTTCGAAATCTGCCAATCAAACGACAATATGATTAAGGTTTTTTTTGAAGCTGAAGACTAAGTGATATAGAACATCTAGAATCAATTTGTCAAGTTAATTAGATGATCGACTAATGAAGATATTATATGTAAAGAGGGTGTGGGTGTGGTTGTGAGTGTGGATGTTAGAAGATCATCATTAATACCAGTCCCACGAACATCCACACCCTTAGACCCTTTACTAAGTTCGTTATACAAACGAGTAACTAATAATGACCGAGCAGAAAGATTCGGTCGCATGAGTTAAATAAAATTGTTCAGTGCAGCTCGTTCGCTCTTTTCGCTGTAATCACTGTGAATAGATGATGATGTTGTGGGAGAAGCTGTAGAACTACGATAGCCCGGGTCATCAATTTTGTCATCCGATTCTTCATGACTCCAAGAAATATTTTTCAGCCAATTAGGAGTCAATGCACGAAAGCCACGACACATCGTGCTCAGTCGATGCCATGGATTTCGATGAAACTTTGCCCATATGTAGTCCCAAGTGTCCTAAGAAAACACCTAAAATTTTAGCTCTTAAGATCGTTCCCTTCTTGAGATATTAAAATTACAATACAGGCACCCTACGGTCAAAAATGAGGATAACCAAAACGGTACCCATGCATTGTTTATTTCACCATTTCTCAACAGCAAAATTTAGAGTCATGAAACTTTGGGGATATGTACTACCACAGATACCCTACATACTGATATACTCAGAATCCTATTCTCGCCTGGTAGAGAATATAGGAAGTTATCATAAGTCTTCGATGTCCTCTCTACAATGTGATTGAACGTTATAGAGCTTAGGAGCGAGTTAAGAGCTCGCGCTTTTAAACTAAGTACTACTACTGTCCATCTATCAGCATCACTTTTCAGAACCTTGGCCTTTTGACTTTTACTCGAACAAGTACCTTGAAGATTCTATACATATGAGCCATTCTACATAAGCCACGACCGATTCCTACAGAAGCTGCTCAAACGATGATCAACGATTTGGTTGATTTTTATATATGTTATAGAGGCAAGTATTTGATGAATTTCTATGCAAGTCGTTTGAAAAAATATTATTCCGTTCTCGAGATAATTAAGTTTTTCTGGAGATACTACCGCCAAAAAAGCGAATTTTTTGAGTTTTTTTATGGCAACTATATCTCATCAACAATAAATGCGTTTGATTTGAAATTTTTACTGTGAATATATATAACGATTCTCTATTACCAAAAACAGAAAAAAGCTCAAATGGATGAATTGTTGATGAGTTGACCAATACTACCAAGTACGTGACAAAGTTATCATTTTTTGGGCATTTTGTGTACTTGCATATTTCATGAATGGATTATATTAGAGAGCTGAAATATTGGCCATAGAAAGATCTCATTGAGTACTTATTTCGCTGGAAATTTTAGCTCTCTAGATAGTTCCTATCGCTCAAAGAATCTTCACCAAAATCACGATTTTGGGAGAGATCGATCTTAAGCAAAACGGGGTGTATAGAAGTCGGGGTTGTATATTATATTGAATCATTATAGTTATTCATACTCTTCTTATCGAATACTAACTGATCCAATGAAATAAGAAGTACAAAAAAAGAAAAAACAATTTGTTTCTTTTTACTTCAATCGGAATTTTAAAAGAAGGCACCTGGAAAAAAAGCTTATAACTTTCGAACGAAAAGTCATAGCAACCTGCGATTTTTAGCAATCGATAGAAGATTATAGGGGGCACATTTTTATATAAAAATCAAGGTTTAAATAATTGGTGATTGTGGAATCACTGAAAGAGTAGGCTCATTATTTGGTGAAATCTCAGCAGAACAAGCTGAAATTTTCAGCATATATAGCCCCACTGTACTCCAATCTTCACTGAAAATATCATCGATAAATCTTGTAATGACGAGGAATGGTGAGTCAATTATCATCTGGTCTTACATAAGGCACTCATTCAATCAAAATATTAGGAAATGGTCTCAACTTTTGGCTGAATAAATATCATAATCTAGACTTCATATCTATGCAATAGCATCGCACTTTGACCGTAAAAATGTACGGAAATAGCCAAAATTCGACGAAGAAATGATTTCCATACAATAAGTATTTTAAAACAAATCTTTCCAACTTTCTTAAGAGAAATGGAGAATTTAGTAATATTTTCATCGTCTCTTCTCGTTCATTTAATAAAACTATGATATAAGTGCGTAGATATGAAGTCTAGATTATAGTATTTATTCAGCCAAAAGTTGAGACCATTTCCTAATATTTTGATTGAATGAGTGCCTTATGTAAGACCAGATGATAATTGACTCACCATTCCTCGTCATTACAAGATTTATCAATGATATTTTCAGCGAAGATTGGAATACAGTGGGGCTATATATGCTGAAAGTTTCAGCTTGTTCTGCTGAGATTTCACCAAATAACGAGCCTACTCTTTCAGTGATTCGACAAATACCGAATATTTAAACCTTGATTTTTATATAAAAATGTGCCCCCTATAATCTTCTATCGATTGCTAAAAATCGCAGGTCGCTATGACTTTTCGTTCGAAAGTTATAAGCTTTTTTTCCAGGTGCTTTCTTGTAAAATTTCGATAGTAGCTTTCTATGAACTGAAATGTAATCATATTCGGATTGTTCGTCCATATTGTTCGATAGTCTTTCGAAATATTTGTTTGTAAGATTCTGATGGAAAAACAAATAATAGAAAAGTTAGCATAGATGGAACAAATGAAATAAGATATCCAATAAGAGATAGCCATGAACCACTAGTTGACTTCATACAACCTCCAACAAAAGAAATAATTAGACGTGGCACAGCAAGAATAACTAAAACAAATGGAGCGATTATTAAATTTATGTGTTGTTGAAATTGTTCACGTAATAATTTTTTATATGGTTGATGTTGGCGTAGAGTTGTTCGTTGTCGAGTAATCATTACAATAATAATAATAGCTGATATAATATTGATGAAAAATGGAACAAGAAAATGAAACATAAGTATGAATGAATTGAATGCTCGAAGATTCCTTGAATAACTAACAATACACCAAATTCTTTTCTCATCAACATCATCATCATTTTCATTTAGTAGACGTCGATGAATAGGATCATGAATAGTTGTGCTAGTAATTGTAAAGAGAAGCATAAGAATAATATATTTAGCTATTTGTTTGCTCTTGTGTTGATCAAATCTAGTTCCTTTTATTATAGTAATTGTTCTTTCTATAGCTACACATGCATTTAACCATTGATCCATACTAAGACCAATTCGTAGAAGAAAATCTATGGAAATACATTGAAACTTTAAAAATGATTGATTTGTCATGTATGTTATTTGTGCAATGATAAGTATCCAGAATTTTAATGCAAAAATAATCACAATGAGTAAAGTAATAATTGATGAAGTCAACAAATAGAGACCACAACCAGCTTTGCATGCTTCTTTGTTTCCAAATGTAATTATTGATAGAACACTGTCAATAATTCCAGCTATGATTAAAATCATTGTCAATACTATACTAACTTGTACAATAGATGATTGATATTTAATGTTTATATGTGGTTGAATATAATAACCTAAGATAGCATCTAGTGAAAGATCAAATAAATTTGAAGTAAATTGACATCGTACTCCATAAAAACATTTTGGACAAACACATATCGATGTTTGTGGACAAGTTGCTTTGTTTTGTAAACAATGTGCACCATTTTCACAATTACTTTGACCAAAACAATTATGTTCAATTCCATGATTGAATTCAAAACAATTAGTCAAACGTTGATGATCATAATCATTACAGAAACAAAAATGATTATCATCATAGAAACAAGATAAAAGTGGTGAACGTTTTTGACATGGTAATTGATAATATTTGATACGACGAAGAGGATGAAGTTTAACGATAGTTTCATTCAATATTTCACTTATATGTTTACAATGATCTAATGGAGTAATTGTTCGAATAATTTTTGTCGATGGATTATATTTATTTTGAACAATAATTAAATAATAGTTATTATTAAAAAAATCAAGAAAAGCGACATGAAATGGATGTGGCCATTCAATAGTAACTGGTTTTTGATTAGTAAAAATAGTTTTGAAAGTAGAACCATTTTCATGTGGACCATTATCAATCGCTCGAATAAAATGAATAAACATTGTTTGTGGTAAAATAATATCTTTATGGAATGATAAAATTATTTTACTATCAACTATTTCACATCTTTCTCCACTAAATCCTT